ACACGGTGGTGACACGGTGGTGACACGGTGGTGACACGGTGGTGACATGGCAGCAATATGAAGCCATACCATATGAAGCCATTCCTTATATGCAAAATGTTTTTGACAATGCAGTGTGTCTCAAACATAAACTCTTCTCAAACAGTTTCTGTGATGTGCCCACACCTTTTCTCACACCCCATGAGATTGCTGCCAATCTATGAATGGACCAGGCGAGCCATGGTCCTAGGACTTGAACGCAGCCGCCTGGTCCAACTGAGACTTCAGCCGTGCTGCTGCTTCGCCTGCCTTGTTTGCAACTGCATCCAAATCATCCTGCATGGCTTTTGCATCCCCCTTCATGTCATTCACACATTGCTGTGCCGTGGACATCATGCTCTCGCATTCCGTGGCAACACTCTTCACGTGCTCATGAATGTACGAAGGGATCATCTCCCCAAATTCCTTTGCCCTGCTAAGCAGGTCTTGGATGTGAAGCTTCTTCCCCGACACATTGTCAACCTTCTTCAAGATCTTCTTCTTCTCATTTGTTTTCATCTTGGGAATGTCACCAGGACCCGGAGGAGGAGGAGTATTCTTATTGTTTTTTGGCCTGCGAGTCATCTCCGAGTCCTCGAGGCCAAAGTTTCCTTTTCGTTTGTGGGTCGTCCCCACTTCCGACATGCTTTGCACACGCTCGCTGTATCGGGGGTCGCAATACATGTACTGCTGCCGCACAGGGCAGAAGTACTTGCGCGTGTTCTGCATGATTTGGGCAAGAGTCTCGGGCTTGCCCTCATATTTTTTCGCAAGATCAGTCTCATCCATATACTCCCCATCCTGGTTGAACTCGACCCTTGTCTGACTGGTTTTCCAGTCTGATACAATTTCTTCCAGCTTTGCTCGCAAAGCTGTTCCCCGAAGATCCCCATGCTCTGCGTAAAATTCCTGCACCTTATCGCCCGTGACTTTGGTGAAGTCATTTACCAAGTCTCCATGTTTTCCCTGTAAGCGGGATACTGCAGCCCGAAGATTGTGGCAGCATCGGCATCGCCTGATGTCTGCAGATTTGCAGTGCTTCCTGACAACCACCAAAGAATTGCCCTCATGGATAGGTTTCTGGCATGTACAACAGCGGCCAGAGTCTTGATGTTCATCCACGCTCTCGGACAAAAGCGACACCGGTGTCGCAGGCATCGAAGCAGCCTTGTCAGCGTGGTCAGCCATAGTTTTGAGGCGAGCCGTCAAAATGTATGCAAAATGCTGCAAAAGCTTGAGGCTTGAAATGTCAAACATAGAATTGTTGATGACACTTCAATTTACATTCGCACTTGATAATACTGAAAAGACACAGCCACAATGCACTGTATAGATCTAAAGCATGCACAGCCCTTCGCAGACCTCTTGTTTTCTCGCATGCTTCTTTTCATGGTCAACCCCGTTTCAAGAACATGCCTGGGCTAGCCTCAGGCTTTCTTGATCAATTGATCCCAGAAATATTTGAATCGACCCACATGATGCCATAGTAGACATCACAGCCTTAAATGAATCCTCCCAGAGCACCAGGGAGGAAGTGCAGGAGGCTTCAAACAAATTGCAATTCTTGAAATTGTGTGTTGCGACCTGAGCCATAAACTTGCGTTCCCCAGACAAAAGCAACACTTCCATGAACACCTGCGGAATGAACACTTTGCCCACTGTAGGTGCAAACACCACATCGCCCACAAAAAATGATCCAGTTGGACTCTTCAGCTCAGCGCTGCTCCAAACGTTGACCACTTCTTTGTTCCAAAATGAAAGCACTGTAGCCCCGTCCTTTAGCTGCCTTCTTCTTCCAGCTAGGAAAGTTCCTTTCCAAATTGTTTTGCTTTGGAAGTTTGAGATGGTCTCGTAGCATACCCTCATGGCCACATTCTGGCCAATGTGATCGCTGAACACATGGGAAGCAATGGCCTTTACAGCACGGTGTTTGCGCTCTGGAGAAAAGCAACTCAAATTGACAGCAAATGTTTTGAACTGCTGTGGCAAGTGAAAGAGCCAGTGGAACTTTGGTTTGACACATTTTGGATAAAGCTTTTGAAACAAGAACCCATGCTTGTCGATGTATTCCTGCAATTCATCGATGTATCCTAGGACTCTTGCTGATTGACTCATAAGCCCCACAATGTTTGCCATGAGCTTCAAGCAAGTGCAGTGCTCTGGAAGTTGTCCAGCGGGCTCGATAAAACGCTCTGAAAACATGACCAAAATTGGAAGAGCCACCAACACATCAGCTGCGAAGCACTTCACATGGGTATCATCCTCATCATTCACACGTGTTTGAAAAAAGTCCTTTGGAAGCTTTGTTCGTGACTTCGGAACTGCAATACTCGCTGCAAAGCAATCAAGGGACCCCATTTGTACCCCCAAACAGCCCAAGGCTTTCACAAATTCGTTTATTTCATACTGGGCAACACCACCGCTTGCCACCAATACATGCGTCCAATCATACATAGTGTGTTTGACTGGGCACAGCGTGTTTCTGAGATTCCCTGTCCAGAGAACACCATGTGGTTGATGATGTACACCGTAAAGCTGGCCATAGTGTTTCAAGTCTTTTTTTTGTTTGTCAACGAGGCCAAATGATTCCGCATTTGCCAAAACAAGTCAGTAGTTTGCTCCGCAAAGCGATGCCTGTGAGGGCATGAATAATGTATCAGCCAATCATGTTCCTCGACATCCTCTGGTTTCATGTGCCCCAGAACATTCTGGCAACAAATGCATGGTTTTGTCGCTGAAGCTCCACGCACCCCCCACAACTGGCAAAGAGCTTTTTCATCGCTCATCACCATTCCAATCTCAGCCTGAAACAGAAATGTCCCCGAAGAGCTGTACAAAGGTATGCCCTTGCTCAAGTTGAAGTCACCATCAAAGAAGGTTTCCAGCATGAGTCGGAATAGATAGCTGTAGTCTTGTTGGTCTTTGCTGTACTTGCTTGGGAAGGCCCCGAAGAAAAACCAGCCATCTGCTCGTGAATGGAAGAACGAAGGTAATTGCACTATGGTGAAATACCAGCATGAAAGGGAGCGGGATAAATCAGGTCTGAGCACATTACCTGGTTTTATCTCGTCCATGTAAAAGGCCAATTGAACCGTTGTGTCCACTGATTTCAAATGATCACCAATTTCTGGATGCTCCTTGGTGAGTTGACTCAAAAGGGCCTTGGGGTCCACATAGTGCCATTGGTATTTTTTTTCCATCATGCATGGTCACCTCCATAGATCTCAAAAGTTGTCCACAACGCCCTTCAGCTAATAATGGATCACGAATTTGCATTCGTAATTTTTTCCGTTGATGTGTGTCATCGTGTTCGTCGTCACCCAACAATTCAATGTAGTCCCCAAAGGACACATTTCTGGGTAGCCTGATGAATGGCCTTGATGACATGTTTTTGGAGGCTAGCCTTCCAAAACAGTTTTTCGTGGAGGGCGAGCCTTCTTCCAAAAGTTGTTTTTTTGTGGAGGCCGATCCTTCCACCGAGGATTGAACCATATTGAACCAAAAGACAAAAAGCAGGCATATCACTTGAAAATTTGATTCATGCAGCAATGCTTTCATGAACAAATATTGCAGGACAATTCAAATTCCATAAGATTGCATGTCTTTGATTTGAACTTCCCGCACCAGGTTCTTTTTCCCTTTTACCCAATGGCCTCGTCCGTGTTCTTATCCGACTTAATCACAGCCAGCGGAATGCCTGGAGGTAGAACCGTAGGCACCGATGGTGAGTCCTGGAATCATAGCAGCGTGCCACAAACCATAAATCAAGAAGGTGCAAGGCAATGACTCACAAGAAGCAACTAAACCCTGGGCGAGCCTCAGGGAAACTAAAACTACAATCTTTTGTAAGGTTTTCAACAATAATGAAATGCTCCTTCTCGGCGGGTGATGTCGGAGAAACCACCTTTGTACGCTCTGATACCTTTGTGTCCTTTGATGAACTCGAGGATTCCTCATCGCTGAATTGTTCATCTTTAATATCTTTCTTTGCTGCTGCCGGTGGACTCTTCGCTGAACTCCTCGATGGTCTCCTCGCTGCTTGACTTTCGGCCTCTGGTTTCACCTCCTCTGTAGCCTCTTCTGAAGATTGAGGAGATTTATTTTCCTCAGACTGCCTTTGCTTCTTGTGCGCTTTGCGTTGCCTCTTGAACTGCTGTTCATTCGCCATTGCTTGCTGCTGCGCCACTGCCGCCACCTGCAAAGCATTCGAAGCCGTTGACTCCACCAATGTAAGCTTCTGCTGCAGGTATTGAATCTGGCCTGTGAGGTACAACACCTGCTGCTCGTAGGTCTGCCGGAAGACTGCAAAGTCTTGAGCTGAAATGCCTGCCGAAGAGCTTGCCTGCGATGCAGTCTGACGTTGGTGTCCTTTGCCTTTTGGCTGCTGTCGCCATTGAAGCTCCTGCTCGGGTTCCTGCACCCTTCCCCCCTCCGTGCCGTTGGCTTCGATGCATTCCCTTGCCATTGTCATTGCAATTTGCATCTGACCTGGTGGTCCTGATAGAGTCAAGCAGCGTTGTCCCCATTGCTGCCGATACCGAACCGATGCAGCAACTCCGGTTCTATTCTTGATGAACTCCTTGTTTTCTGATGTCAGTGTGCCACCACTTGGCCCCAATGGTATGGGGCCCATATGCGCATCATGGCCAGCCATGGCTACCCAGACAGAAAACTGCCGTTCAGAAGTGAAATGAAAATTGTTGAGCGTGTGAAAATTGATTTCTTGGATGCTGTTGCCTGATGTTGTTCTGGGAAAGTTGTGTGAAAGTTTTGTGTTGTGTTAAAGTTGTGAGAATTTGCTGCGATGTTGTTGTGTGAAAGTTGTGTGCGTGGTTGCTGTTTGCATGCTGCCATGCACGCAGCGGGCGAGCCTCGCTGCATGCATCCAGAAAAGGGCTACGATGGGATACGGATGCATCACGGAGAGATGGCCTCGCAGCCAACTTACAGAACTTATACCCAACTTACAAGTTCTTATAAGTTTTGGACTTCCCAACTTATAAGTTAAGGTATAAGCCATCCAACTAATGTATAAAAACATATAAAAAGCAACAAACATATAAATATAACACAAGATACTTAGCCAGTTTATAGTTTAAGTTAAGCAGTTTATAAAATATGTTAAGGATGATATAACTTAACATATATATATATGGCAAGTGGAAAACTCGTTATAGTACTTCTCCTAGCACAGAATCCTTCTTACCGGGCCTCCCAGAAGCAATCGGTGCTACGAGGGAAAGTAGTAGTAGTCGTGGCCCCCCCCCCCCCTCAAACTGGAAAAAGTAGTAGTAGGCGGGCCCCCCCCCCCTTGAAGTTGAAAAAGTACGGACTCTGCCACGACTACTTTTCGTAGCACAGAATCCCTCTGAACTACTTCTCGTAGCACAGACTCCCTCCTAAAAGTAGTCGTCGTTGGGGGGACTCTGCCACGACTACTTCTCGTAGCACAGAATCCCTCTTGAAAGTGACGACTACTTCTCGTAGCACAGAATCCTTTTTACCGGGCCTCCCAGAAGCACTCCGTGCTACGAGGGAAAGTAGTAGTAGTCGTGGCCCCCCCCCCCCCCCCCCGGGGGGGGGGGCCGCGGCCACGGCGCGCCGCCCCCCCCCCTGCACATTGAAAAAGAGGAGACCCTTCGGGGGCGGCCTCTCGAAGGCAGTGCGTTTGTTGCTTGTATCGAACACGGAAGACCAGACATTATGCTGCACTCATTTCTCTGAGATTCTATTGCCTTTGACATTTGACAGACATTGCATATGCGCTTCCAATCATTTTCACTAAGGCGCTTTTCTGAAGTGAAATCTCTTCAATCCACCCTACTGTTACCATCCGTTACCAATATTTGCACAATGTTCGAGTACAAAGGTGGATAATATATAACTTAACATCCATTTGAGATCACCCTGGTCAATTTCCCTTTGAGTGGAGCCCTGAGATGTTCTGAGGCTTGATCCTGGCCGTGGTCGCCGCGATGTAAGAGGCGATCTTGGAAAGAACATGCCCCAAATATGCCTTGAGAAGGCAAAATGCATGACAAGTCTTTTCGGAAGTACCATGATGATTGAAACTTCTGCATGGGATGCGAAGTGAACTACCACTATCTACCACTATAAGACTATGAGCAAATGTGTTTGGTTTCGTATTCAGTCAAGACATGCTGAAGCTACCAGACAGTAAGTCCTCGAGTCTCCAAGAGTTTACTTCCTTCTTTGTTCACTTGAAACTTCAATCAATTTCCTTTTCTCTCTTGGCTACGCTGATGTCGATGAGCGACGATACGCGCCTTTTGCATTCAGAAACTCGTTGATGGCCCGGTACAGTATATAGTTTGGCCTGTGTTGCCAGAGCTTGCGTTCGAAGCCCTGTCTTGAGGACCCGTCATGACGCTTGGAGCGAAGAAGGAAAGTTCAAAGTTTTAGCAATCTCTGAAGCCTTCGCATATGTGCGCATTTGCTAGTTTGGCATGGGCTGCAAGAGATATTGGACTCTGACGAGTGACCAAAAATCATGTTTCAACAAGTACACATCATTGGGCTGGGAGTTGGACAGCTGGATGTGCTTGAAGGTGGAGAAGACCCTCGTCTTCTTGGCTTGGAGTGAGTCTTTCCAACCGGAGCCGGTGCCCAGGAAATGTTGGAGTCCTGATTGCTGTACATCATGTCATGTTAGAAGAACGGTGAGCCAACCTGGTCTACTACGTTCGACCCCGCAAGCTTGTCAGATAATTAGCTTTGTTGTTCATTCTGATTATGTGTTACTAGTAGCTTCTTGTTACATCTTGATACTAGTAGGGATGGCCTCCAACCTAATACTCTAGTCTCGGAGTGTTTGACCCGAAAACCAGGGTGTGCGCCATCTTCTGAGCCATATGTCTGGTTAGACAGAAGCCAACAGTGGATGGCGCAAGCCGACAGGGGGCCATGGTCTAGGGCCATCTTCTGGTGTGTGATTCTGTGTGATTGTGTCTGCATGCGGGATCATGTGGAAACATCGTGCCATCTACTGAGTCTTTGCTGCATGTGGATCATGTAGAATCGTGACCAGCAGTGATGGGCACAGTAGATGGCGCAGGGGAAGGGGGGGGGATAAAGAACGGGGCGGAGAGCCCATAGCAAGGTCACGGGAGAGCGGAATGCACTTGTACTTGTAGCGCGCAGCTTTCCAGTAGCTGGAGCGAGGCCGTGTCTATGTGTGAGTGTTCTGAATTGCCCAAATGCGCCATCTTATATTTTTGTTCGGGCCATCTATTCCGTAGTAGCTTCTTGTTACTAGTAGGGATGGAGACCTAATAGCGATGGCCTCCACCTAGTAGCTTCTTGTTCCTAGTAGGGATGGCCTCCAACGTAATAGCGATGGCCTCCACCTAGTAGCTTCTTGTACTAGTAGGGATG